CCCCAGCTATATCCAGCTGTCGGCTGTCTCCAAGCAGATGTAGGTGGGGGATTTCTAAACACAAAAGGTCCTATTACGGGGACATAACGACCTCCACGACTCTCATCTTTGAACTCAATCTTGGAGACCACCACAGTAACATGCCTGTCAAATTTCATTAACTTCCATCCACACATACAAAAGTTATCCTGCTCACAAGAAAAATTAACAAAATGCCCCCTGTAGTCACAACGAAACCCCCCACGAAGCTCAGTAACGAACTTAACCTTGGTCCCGACAATAGTAAGCACCACACCAAGAATTATAATCAACATTTTACAAATACTTGAGTTATCTTGCTAACAAGCCACAAACACAAAAGGTGCACTAACGTGACGCACGGACCCCCCACGAAGTCGAAACTTGTACTTGACTTCGGCCTCAACAGCGGTAATCTGCCTGCCAAAAATCATGGACGTCGAATGATGCCTTCCAGAGTTATATCGCAAAATCCGCAGTTCCCCACACTCCGGCGGGACAATTTCATAGTCCTTCTGACGAAGACAATAAAGGGGAATAATAGCAGGGCTCAAAATACTTACCTGCACCAAGGAGCTTTCATCACATGTGATGAAAGCTCCTTGCCTGCACCAGACAAATATTTTTACCTGCACCACTCAGAATTTAGAAGTACATAGCAATAATTTTATTGATCATACTGAAAACTGTTCAGAACCATTACCATTGATTATTTCTTTCATACTCAACATGTGGTAATCTAATGGTCAAGCAAAGGCAACAAATATAAATCCACATTGTGTATGTAGTACATGTATATGGACCGGTGCAGGTAGACCTGCATAGCTCCAATATTGGTGGTATTTCAAGCCCTGATATGATTAGGGAAATAAGGCTCCAGATTATCTCCATTAGTCCAAGCAGTTATTTTTGCGAGTTTTCTGACAGCCCAGTTTTTCCTCATTTTATTTCAATCAATTTAATTTTGAAGGGGATGCAAACATGAAAATGTAAAATCAATGTGATAGGCTGTGATATAATTTCTCAGTTGTTCGATTTGTTTGCTAATTAATTTTTTTCTTAATTTTACAGCTAAATTTGGAGAATCCATCAAATAATTAACCAGCTTTATTTGGCTCATTATATCTAAGTAAAATTTTAAACATCAACTTAGTTAAATGAAATTACTGTATGATACAACAAAATGGTGCGGGCAACATCTTTGGCATCCTTCAATTCGCAAAAGTCAGGCAGACTTCAGTGCCTTGTAAAAGATGACATTGACAGTCAGTCAATCTGCTTCGGAGGAACACACCGCTACACCCAGAGGATTCCTGCTGTTGTGGCAAGTTCAGACATTGGGGATGTGATGGCAGACCTGTTGGGTGGGACTACACAACAGCATCTGGAGAGGAGAGGAGTTCTCAACCGGTATCCTGCTTTTGGAAGATTGGCAGTAATAAAAATGTCAGGTAAGTGTGGAGGACTTGATCTTTTCATCTCTGCTGTTTGGTCTTTTCATCTCTGCTGTCCATTGATTAAGTCATTAAACTCCTTCCCAGTTAGGACCATCTTACATCACGGTATAATATTATAGAATATATCTATTATAATATCTATATCTATCTATCGATATATATATATATCCATCAATATCTATGAATCTACATCTATCTATCTATCTACCCATACAAACACACACACCCATTCAGGTACAATGTCATACTATCCATCCTTATTGAGGTACATGCAGGCACACATCTTGTACCCATACCATCCCCATTCAGGTACATGCTCGCACACATCTTGTACCCATACCATCCCCATTCATGTACATGCAGGCACACATCTTGTACCCATACCATCCCCATTCAGGTACATGCAGGCACACATCTTGTACCCATACCATCCCCATTCAGGTACATGCAGGCACACATCTTGTACCAATACCATCCCCATTCAGGTACATGCTAGCACACATCTTGTACCCATAACATCCCCATGCTCACACACATCTTGTACCCATACCATCCCCATTCAGGTACATGCAGGCACACATCTTGTACCCATACCATCCCCATTCAGGTACATGCAGGCACACATCTTGTACCCATACCATCCCCATTCAAGTACATGCTCACACACATCTTGTACCCATACCCTCCCCCTGCATTCAGCGAAACATCTAGCGAAACATCTTGTACCCATACTTTCCATGCCCATGAACATATAAATCTAGCAGATATGTTGTTACCACACAGGGTAAACATTGCACATAGCAATACATTTACAATAGGAAACACATTAACTATAACAATTGTATAGCAGTGCACTTATCGTTTTTGATATACAATTGTATCAAGACACAAGTCTAGAAAGATTGCGGGCCTGCTTCAGAGACCTCATTAGTTACATTTCACCTCAAGTAATGAGTAAACCTATTGGGTATTTTACTACAACCATCTATAATGTGAGATTGTTCGTGTTAGGTTCTACATTAAATATTTCTGTTGTTTCTTTCTCTTGCTCTCAAGGAATTATGAAGAGCACACTACCTTAAGATGTGGTATGGATCTTTTATACACACCAACAAAGTAATCTTAGAACTAGCTAGCAGTACAGCTTAGAAGAGTGTCAACATTATATTCTTAGCATCTTTGTGAAGTTTGATTCAGTGAAATCTCTGTTATGGCTTGATTGGTAGTGTGACATATGCTATACTTGACTTAATTATCAGGTTGTGTCCATCTCGCGAGTCTGTTTCACTGACACTGTAAAGTTTAGTATTGTCAATCTTCCAATGTTTTGTATATTCAGTGGTTAACTTAATTTAGTGTCCAGTTTGATAGTACTTATTGTCATTTTAAATCTTTTGTAGCTTTTTTACAAATTATATTGTTGTCTACAGATTCTGAAGTGTCATGAGCAGTTTGGCCCTAGTCAGGTACATGTACCAGGTATTAAGAGTATGGTTTTCTTGACACACCATGTAAGTAAAGGGTAATATCATACAATTTTCCTCAGGAAATGGGGACTGTCTGCTACATGCCATCTCCACATACATGTGGGGGATCCAGGACAGTGACCAGACACTGCAGCAGTTACTGTGCCGTGCTCTGACTGAGCCAACAAACTTAAACAGGTCTCTGAGGGATCGATTCATGGAACACCTGATGGGAAACTCCAGACGCCAGTCCTCACAAGAGGTAACAGTAATCAAATATGCCCCCAATGTCGCCATGTTTTAATGATTTTTAGACTGCACAAATGTCCCTTGATGTGTGTGAGCATATGGATTTTGAGCAGTTTCCTGACAATAGAAATCTTGTATCTTTTGAGAGTACACCAAAAGATAAGTGAGATTGGTAAAACCCAGACAGCAAGCTGTTTTACCTGTTTACATGATAATACACTACAGTATATTTCGATGATACTTAAGCCACACTGACTTATTTTATGGATGACATCCACTGTAGACCCCCAAACTAGTGTGCGCGGGTGAATAAAAAAATCCCCCCCCACCAAAAAATTCTGCTAAAGCACACTGGAATATCTGGAATATAACTTATAAGGTGGGTATTGAGAATTTGAGGCATTACATAGCAACTGTGGCATCAGTGTGGATTTAGTAATAAAGAGAAAAGCCCAGTGGACTCCTATTTTATATCGTGTCCATTCAAAACATGATTTTCATCCTTTTTTTTCTAGGACCTGCAAAGAAAATGGGAAGCTGTTCTTTCAGTGGTCTCGTCTGCCTTCACCCCACAAGTTGACAATGACCTCTTGCTGAAAGCCTTTGAGGTCTACATCTTCACCATGGCACAGATCCTCCGCCGACCCATTGTTGTTCTAGCTGAGGACGTGCCCCTGACACGTGAAGGAGGTTCATTCAGCCTGAGCGGCATCTACCTGCCTCTACAATTGCCAGCAGAGGAATGTGTGAAGAACCCCATCATGCTTGCTTATCACAACCAACAGTTTTACCCACTGCTCTCCACACAGCCCCCACAACAGGCCACATCTCGCCCCATAGATGCAGTCCCGCTGGTAAGGCAGAATGGAGAGAGTCTTCCGGTGCATCTCCTGCTACCTGAGGAAGCTGCTCATGTTCAGGAGTATGTCAACCAGCACATCCATACCACCCTGGTTCAAGATCAGCAGGGCAACAGCATGGTAGCAGCAAGGATGGGAACCCTAACCCCTCCTGATGAGTACAACCTCTTGTTGGACGTCTTCCAGCAGGCTGCGGAAGGACCAAACCCGGCAGAAGCCAGTGAAGCATCTCCGGGGCGTACTATTTTGGAAAACAGGAATGGAGCAACTGATAACCAGGGAGCATCCGTCTTTTGCACCCAAGGAGCGGAGGGTCTCACATCACAAGGGGCTGAGCTTGATCAGCAGATGCTCAGAATGTCCATTCAGAAGGAAGCTGTGAGCCAAGGTAACAGTCACCCAGCCAATGCTTCAACACAACTTCCATGTACAAGGGAGGCAATGATGTTTACATCAAGTCCACATAACAGTGATGACAATCCACACAACCTTGATGTTCACAACATGGCTGCTGTGAGTGAGCAACGCATCCAAACCAGTCACAGTACCATCCAAGGTGAAGTTAACAACCACAGGGCAACTTCAAGTCAGCAAGGAGGTTGGCAACAAAACGACGTCTTACCAGGTGATGTGTCAGCCGCAGCAGAAAGTATCCAAGATGAAAGTCAGGCTTCAAGTTCAATAGCCAATGGTAGGTCCTCAAGGGCTGCTAATGACAACAGGGCACAGTGGGAAGCAACTGGAGCAAAACCAAAACAGCCTTCTGGCTCCAGATCGAAGGAAGGATCAAGGAAGATGGGAAATCGTCCAGCTCGTGACAATTCCATCTGCAAAACGACAGGGTGTCCAGGAAAAGCTGTGCCCAGTAAAGGAGGTCACTGTAAGAAGTGCTACACCAGGAAGTCTCGGGAAGAGAGGGAAACAAGGAACAGAAGATTATCTCTGGAGAATCCCTCAGCAGATGGACCAGCACCCCAGGAAAGACAGGCCAGAAAAGCATCATCAGCTGGTCAACAAAGACAACAGCAGATCTCAGGCGTGGGTGGACAGAGGTCAGTTTTGTCAGCTCCAACAACAGGCAGGAACTCATCAATACCACAAGGTAGAGAAACAAGCAAAGAACAAATGTCTATGCAGCCAGTCAACACACCAACATCAACACCAAACACAAGTGGCAGCAGGTCTGCAACTGTCAACAGCACCCCGATGAGGCCACAAGTTCCCCAGGCCACTGATCCTAGAAGTCGTCCTGAGACCGCATTTCTACCAAACAGTGGACCTCCAAGCTCCATAATCTATGCAAGTTCAAGTGGCCAGTCATCATCTACAAGCACCCATGGCACTGAGCCAAGTGTGCCTCAGTCAACCAACAATGTATCTACTGGTTCATTGAGGATGCATCACAATGCAGGAGAAGAGCCTCTTGGAACTTTTCTGTACCATGCTAGGACCACTGCTGATGGTGCTGTCCAAGAGAATCATCCTTACATCCCAGCAGATCATATGGTAAAGTGTTCAGCCCCAAACTGTGTCAGAATGGTGAACAAGGACATCAATGATTCTCTCTGTCAAGTATGCCACCAGGTCCTTGGGCAAATAAACCAGGCATCTCTTCCCAATAATGGCACACTCAACTTGGGACAAGGAAGCTCTGCTGGTACAAATACAAGACGAGCAGCAACAGGTAAATATATTTTATCCCAAAGATTTGTTTCTTCTTTCATTTTAACACACATGTATATTGAGATGAATAGTTGAATGTTTAAACCATTTAATGTCCGGGATCCCAGAGCCCTGAAGTTAAAAAAGATGAAAACTATTTCAGATGCAGATGCAGCAGTGATAGCCAGTGATGTAACCAGTCCCAAATACAAGGATTCAGCAGCCAATCTGCCCATGAGGAACCAACCAGCAGGTATGTCAGTTGATGATAATTTTTCTTTTCTATACACTTATTGGCTTATACAACAGCTATGACAACTAATTTGTAACATTTATAGTTATGTAAATTGTATTTGTCGTTAATTAATATTTTTGATAAGTATTCTTATTTTAGTAACTAGCCTTTGTTAAGTCAGATATTTACACCTATAAAGACACTATAAAGATACCTTAACCTAATAAAATGTTTTTTCACAGTGCACAGGCCACCTGAACTGCAATCAGCCCATCAGAGAGCCTATCAGCAGCAACTGGCTGAAGTTCGTCGTCAGTCTACACCCCCATCAGGTCTGTCCACAGATCAGCCAGCTAGCCAGCCTTGTGCTATTAGAGGTTGCAGATACATAGGCACACTTAAAAACAAGTACCTTTGCAGTTTTCATTTTAAGGTATATGTAACAGGTGCATCAAATTCTAACAGCTTTAATGCATCTGGTAACATCTCACTGCATGCTGATGCAGAGCCCTGTAGCCAGTCTGAATCAATGCCAAGACCTATGTCCTGTAATAACTTTTATAACTTTGAACGTGGATCTATCCAAAATTTCATAAATAATCCATCTGCCGACAATTCCACGTTCAAACCTCCATGTTCAGCTCAAGCTTCAGTGCCTTTTCCAGATCAAAATGTAGACAGAACACGAGCAAGGGCGTCACCCTCCCATCAAAACGGCCATTCCCCACCTCTTAGAAATAGCCCCTCTCCACCTTTGCACCCAAGACAGGGTCCATCCCTACACAACATGTACAGCCATACACCAGTGAATGGCCCTCCCCCATCATATGGGTTGCCTTCAAGACAGGGGTACACTTGGCAGCCCCCTAGAAGCCAATGGAACAATTTGTCTGCACCCTTGAGAGGGGTTTCTGATGAAACCAAACCATTTTCTCAACATCCCATACAAGACCCTACTCTGCATTCAAATCCTTCCAGGGTACATACACGAAATGCCCCCTCTCATACTGTACCTATTTCTACTGCATGTAACATGCCCTACTGTAACCAACAGGGTGACCCTGCATATGGTGGGTATTGCCCACAATGCTACGATTGGATTCAAAGAAACAGGCGATCCTAATACCATTGCAGTCACTGATATCATGCTTAAAAAGCAAGTGAATTCAGAGCATTTGTATATAAAATTATAAAATATCAAAGTTGTATATAATAACATATAGTGACAAAAAGCCAGCAATTTTGTGTTGTTTTCTTAAAATCTGGGACCACTCTGCAAACAGAGGTAATGTCTAGATAAGTTTATAAGATGGCTGGATGACCAATAAAAGTCCTGAAGAAGAAATATTTGTAGCAACAACTTGAACAAGATAAAACTACCTGACGTCCTATTTTTTTATGGGAGATGTATTTTCCTAACAGCAAATTGTAGTTTGCTTATAGTTATATATAAATGAGTAAATCATATGGTCAGGCCACACCAATTTAATTTGTTGGTTCTCGGATTCGCCTCTTCATTTTTTTCTGATTTGCAAAAAAAAAAAAATTTATTCTGGTCCTGAATCAACTGAAAAATGCTCATGTTTTGCCCCCAACAGTTGAGGAACGTCCTTTTCTTCCTAGTTGTTACAGTTTTCCCATCTATCATTGCAGTGGTTTGATTAAAAGTTCAAAATTCAATGTTTAAATTTTAACCCAGCCTTTTGTGTTGACTTCATGGCTCATTCCATAGCATTTAAGCCTATAATAGGATGCCTAGACCTGTTTTTATTTTTATTTTTTTTCGCCCTGTCGCTTCATATTTTTTCTGAAAAAATCCGAGAACCAACAAATTAAATTGGTGTGGCCTCAGTGAAGAAAAAAAGCAAAATTTGTTTAACATTAATGTGTGAGATTGTACATAGTTTATGATCTGATTCTCTTGCTTGATTCACCATGAAAAAGTTTTGTCAAGGGAAAAATTGCATGGCTGCTTTGTGTATCATATCTGACAGTAGTTAGTTGACCCTGATTATATCTTTATATATTTTCAATGTAGAAAATAAGTGTAACAATAGACTTTCTCCTGGTGTGGTGAACAGAAACCCAAAATGTAATTATAATACAATGTTCCACAATGGAATTACTGTACATACATGTATATGTGGCATTGTACGTATACAATATACATGTATATGGGACTCTTAATTTTTTTAAGCACGTAAAAAGAGCAAAAACTTAAAGTGTGTTCAAAATAATCTATTGAATAGTTAATAATATATACTCTAAGCGGTAGAATTGAAATATTGCTTCAAAAGCCACAGGTTTGTTATTTGCTATGTCAATGTACAAAAGATTTCTATTTGACTCTAAGTGAACTGTTTTTAAAGACTTAATGTTTTATTGAAGAAGAATTGGTACCCTGAAGGGTTTTATGACCATGATCATTGTAAATGATTGGTTTAAGGTCCATTCCAGTGAAAAGTCTCAGGTAGGGAAGTGACAAACAACTCCCCAAAATGAGAAGATATACATAAATCAATATGGTAGAAAAATGTGTATTGTTGAGTGTGGAGAAAATTGACAAAAATCAAGTGGAATATTGAAGGGAGTGGGAAATACAGTATTTGCTTCCCACTGACAATTTTATCTGGAATCTTGTTTCAAGTAATTTAAGGTTAAGACCAGTGCCGGCAGCTGTAAGTGAAAAGATTGAGTGAAATTTTATAGAAATCTTCAGGGTCCCTAAAATACTGTGTTCAATAATGATGATGTGACCATCATTAAATGACACATAATATAATAACATCTGTGTCTATAATATCACCAGGGTCCATAATATTGCCACGAGAAACAGTGTGCTTAAAGATATTTTCACTGCAACGTACCCTAGGTATGAACATTTGCATAACAAAAGTATGTTGCAGTAAAAATATCTTTAAGCACATTATTTCTCAAGGTGGCGATATTATGGACACAAATGTTATATTCCAGATACTAATTTTTGCTTCCTATCAAATACCAGTTTTTGGTTCCTATGCAACCAGCAAGGCGTGTATAGTAATTATTACAATAATACAGAACACTATGTTTTAGAAAGTCCTGTTAAGAGAGGAAGTGTAAGGTGAAATACATTGTACAATGATGTAGCACTGTATTATTTTATGCCAAGCAAAGACCAGAAAATTGATATGTAAAGAAACTTGTGTAAGCTCTGGTGTTGGAATATAATCTGGTAAAGATGGCACCTTTTGAGTCTCTGACAAGCTTTTACTTTATTCTCAGTCTGTTCTGGAGATTTTTTAATATACATTGTATGCCCAAATAACTTGCAGTGCAGAGACAATGTCTACACTATGTCTTTATTTGTTGCTATACTGGCAACATACATACAGGATACAACACGGCAGTTTCAAAAGCAGACAGTCACAACCTCTGTATCTGCCTGTATAACCGCCTTTCGGCGCAACACACCAGCTGATGTGTTACGCCAGTGTGTAACAACCTCTGCTAATAGACACAGTAAAATACCCCACTCAAGTCACAAAAACAAACTCAGACAAAATCTACTGAGCAAATTTCCTTTTTTCTAGTCCAGGCTGTGAGATCTCCAGCATGCTAGCAGGATTTGTTTGTGTCTCTGCAATGTACAATTTTCACCTGTCTGCCTCTGCCACAGCCAACACCTGCTTGAGATAACAGATAATCTTACTGTACACACAATTTACAGGCTATTTGTGACAATAATATAATGGCAGGAGCAACATGGCATGCCTTCTTTCTGAGGCAATTGTCGATCGATCAAAGGTCCTACTGTGCATCTCATTGACCTATTTGTCAATGAGTAAATTCCAAATGTTTTGTTAAAGCTCTTGGAGACCAGGTCTACAGCGAGCTGCAGTGCAACAAAAGCACAACAAACAGAAAATCAACAAAGAAAACCACATTATCTTGCAACCTCTGCCAAGAAGGTTACGTTTTCATTTGGGTAACCTGCTACTTATCATACTATAAGACTGCTACTTATCAAAATGACACAGAGTGAAAAAATTTCAACATTACTGTGTTGTTATGAGTTTCCTGAAGACCTACATGGGTATCAGTATCCCAGAATTTCAACACAAAAAGCAGAATTTTTCATTCTTACAATATTGGCCCCCAATGTGCAACAGAGCCCCCTGCTGATCATTTTGGAAACTGCACCCTGCCCTACTTCGTGACTGTGACTACATGTACTAGTATCTTGTTCACACATCGTGCTCCCATCTACGCTTTGTCGTGTCCCGTGACAGCAACTCTTTCTCCCTGCCTGAGAAGATTCTCTCTTCCTCTGTCTCCAACTCTGACTCCCACATGGAGGGGAACCTGGCTTGTCCTGTCGGAGGACCTTGAATAGCTGGGATGATAGACCTCACAGCAGCAGGGACTGCCTCTGCACTGGGGGCCCACATAGCAGGTGCAAATGCTGACGGATGGATGTTGAAATTGATGGTGTTGTCGTGGACGTCAACGTGTACAGGTGGGCTGGACAGGACTGTGGTGTTGTCTTGCCTGGGAAGGTTACGAGAAGCATGCCCTGACCACCGTCCTGCTGTCCTTGGTGAAGTGGCACTGGATCCTGAGTTAAAAAAAAAAATTGCAACATATTAGATTTTCATAGCCAAATGGCACCAACTTTTCCTTCCTTTCTTACATGGCAGTTTAAAGGGGAAACAGGCACTGAAAGATTACAACCATGACACGTCATTCTACTTTTTTGGGGCAAGGACAGCACTGCTTAAACTTAACTTGACAACTTAAACATATTGTGACATGCAACTTGTCAGCTGTCAGGCTACTGACATTTACAACTTATAGTACCGGTACCTCATGTTCCATTATTCAATGAAGACATTGCTATTAACAACTTAATTAGTGAGTTAATTACTGCTTAATTGAGATACGAATATGAAGCCAAGCCAAGAATCATTACCATATTTCTTGATAGCAATGCCCGCTTTACAAATTCAGTCATCTCAACCAACATTGCAGTGCCGCTAACAAATTCTAAATGTTCAATTTTCAGTGCCGTATCTATATCATTCTTTATTCAGTATAACCGATACAACCGCCCTTTGGCTTCGCAGGCATACGGTACGGCGGCAGCTGGCTACATTACACCGAATGACATGCCGTGCTCTAGTCTACAGTGATTCAAATGATAACCAGAATTTTAGACTTACCATATCTTGAGTGACCCATCCTTGGTCCTGTCTCCCTCCCCTGACGCTGTTCCCAGATGCAGGAAAAACAGAACCCTCCACAGTCTGGGTCAGCATTGTTGCTGCAGTATGGATTCTGGCACCTGGGCTTCGTCAGTGGGTACTTCTGATATGCAGCACTGAAACATTGAAAAGGAAACTGTTAAGTAATAACATAATTACCTGATAGTACAAAGAAAGGTACTCACTCACTCACTCACTCTCTCCCATAGCAAGAAAGGTACTATCTAAAGCATAATATTATGCATATATTTGGAGTCTGTCGCTCTCAATACATCAATACTGAAACAACTGATCAATGAATGTGTAACATGTCATAGGTAAAAACATTAATTCTTGTCTCAAGAACATGTGGTAGCAACTTTTCATAACATGTCACAAAATGTCAGCACTCAGCTGTAAAAACTTCCCAATTAAATCCTACAGCTGCATGTAAAGGTATTGCCTGAGTGTGCAGTTTTGATGTCTTACCTGTATTGGTCTTGTCCAAGTGCCTGTGACTGTACACGAGACGGGGTTCTTGTCCCTGCTCTATCCCGTCCCCCTCCAGCTGAGCTGTCCACGTCTCCTCCTCCCTTTGCCCACCTCCCCTCTCCCATCCTCTCGGCTCCGATTGGCTGAGCTGACGTTGCGCGGGCTCCACCAGTGAAAGGCGGGGCACTGTTGTACCGTCCTCCCACTGGCTCTCTGGGAGGATCCGGATAAGGGGATGTAGCAGGCAGAGAGTGGGCTGGTGCCTGCTGCCTCCCAGCTGTGTGTGGAGAAGGAGAGGCGCGTGAAGGCAGTGAGCTGTACGATGGTGGTGGGGAGGTGATGCCAGACCTCAGGGATTTGGGCTTGGTGGAGAAGGGTGCTGCATATTGCCTCGGCTGACTTCCAGAAGAGACACTGGGGATGCTGGGCCTGTTGACCTGTAGGTTCTCGCCGTCGGCACGGTTACTGTACAACCTCTGCTGCTGAAACTTCGAGTAGCAATCCTGGCAACGGCATGCCGTCCCACGATACCCTGCGACTTCGTAGCAGTCCGGGTTCTGACAGACACCATTCCTGTATATGCCGGGGTCTTGTATCTTCTCTCCTAATTGATGGATGCTGGAGTCCGGTGGGTAGGCTGGTGAGGACCGCGGCTGCAAACCACGGTGACCTGCAGTCCTATACTGGTAACCCTCTCCATGGTCCTGATCTGCCATCCTGTACAAGAGAGAGGAAACAAATTGAAGGAAAGGCTTGTATGTGTATCTTCTGAGTGTTGCAGAACACCACAAAGCTACACCACAGGAATATCATGTAATTTCTTCATAGCTAGAACACACTCAAACACAAAGATATACAAACACAAGCATTAGCATTTTGTCTTGAAACATAGTTAATTCCATATACATGTAACAATAGGTTGTTATGACTTTGACTGCTGTGTTTACTCAATACAAGTGGAAAGCTTTCACTTTCATTTTCAGTGACTGTTAGATATTCTCTAAGCTGAATGTTTTAACAAATCATAAGACCTCTAAGATGATGTGGATCAATTTCACATAATACATTTCTAACCAATGATCTCATCAACAGATTCTAACTAAAAATGATGTTTATTGAATCCAACAGGCTGGTTGTAACTGGAGCACACAAGGGGGTTCCCCAAGCATAGAAACTAGCTGTGGGGATTTTTGTGAGTAGGGGGAATTTGGGATGTTATGTTTGCACCATTTTCTTTGCAAAGTGGTAAAAAAAGTGTGATTTTGGCATGATCATGAGAAAGAAATGATTTAAGGAAAACATCTCGATCAAGATTAAGGCACAGGGATCACTTAGATCTGTAGGGTTCTGAATACTATGGGGTGATCTCTGTGCCAGAATGTTTTCTTTCTCTGAACGTAAGACACCATTTTCTTGACCTTTAAACATTGAATTTTTAAAGGAATGTAAGACACCATTTTCTTGACCTTTAAACATTGAATTTTTAAAGGAACGTAAGACACCATTTTCTTGACCTTTAAACATTGAATTTTTAAAAAAATTATTAAATCTATTACAAAAATGTAGTTTCTTTTGACACGTTTCCCACCTTTCATTTTTCACACATAAAGAAACTGAATGTTCTAGAAACATGAAAATCATGGGGAAAGCCCATTTTGTGCTGAGTGTTTGAAATTGGTATTAACCAGTACCTAAATTTTAAAGCCTTCGAGAAGACAAACCAACCGTTGTTACACTTGATAATAGCAAGTTCTGTGACAAATTTGTAACACTATCAACAGCTTTTACTTTCATTTTCAACTGTTGTTATAATGCATGTTGTCATCTGTTTGGAAAGAACTGTGTATATGCACTCCATAGCGCTTATAACATACACATGTACATGTACTAATGCCTTCTGCAAAAATTAAGTACAAACTCACCTCTACAAGTCACTTGAAATAGCAAGAGTTGGTAAAACAGTCTGTAGTTTGCAAGTAGTGTAGTTGTTGTGGTGATAGCACATAAGCCAATGCGGGACTTTCCAATATTTTATTGTACTGTTGGGGGAAACTTCTGACACAGAAAAAAGTACACCTGACTTCACTGTGACTTCTCAACGCCACCTGTGGACGTCATTTGGAATTACAGTTTGGAATCAAATTTCTATAGTGTCAACTCTAGAGAGAACAAGATCAGTAGAGAAAGTAAACCACACTAATATAATTTGTTTCTGATGTGTTTCATTGAAACATTTATAGTTATAATACAAGAGATTTTAGATCATCCATGACTCAACACTGCAAATTGAGTCACACACAAAGATTGGGCATATCAAATTTCTCTTTCACTTTCCTCCTGTTCCCCAAGTATAGAAATTTGCTGTGGGGATTTTTGTGAGTAGAGGGAATTTGGGATGTTATATTTGCACCATTTACTTTGCAAAGTGGTAAAAAAAAAGGGTGATTTTGGCATGATCATGAGAAAGAAATGATTTAAGGTCCCATTCGTGAGTTTTTGTTAACTATAGCCGCCTATGGCAAAATACGTAACTTTACATAGGCCAAAACCCAATAATTTGAATGACAGCCATCTAGTCTATCCAATCAATTTTGAGCACAATGGCCCTACATTACGTCAAAAAATTCCCAACCAGATCTAACCCAACAATCTCTTTTTATTTATTTATAAACTGCACTTGGCCACTCTCCGCCAGAGGTCCTCCAGCGCTGCTACCTCCTGACCGCATTACCCATCACAACAGCGTGTAAACATCCGACCTGTCGCGCGGATGTCAACACTTACCCACTAATTTTAGCACATACAAACAACCTCTCATATCACAAGCGGTTTACGCCAACTGACTTAGCTAAAATGCAATTTCTGGCGGATATAAACACACATCCATACACGCATTTAATTTTTAGTACGATCTACTTGAGAGTACCCACGCGGAAGAATACCGGAATGAGACCTTAAGGAACACATTCCGATCAAGCTTAAGGCACAGGGATCACTAAGATCTGTATGGTTCTAAATACTATGGGGGTGATCTCTGTGCCAGAATGGTTTCTTTCTCATAAGACACCATTTTGTGGAGCTTCAAACATTGAATTGAAAAAAAAAAATTATTAAATCTATCACAAAAAATGTAGTTTCTTTTGACACGTTTCCCACCTTTCATTTTTCACACATAAAGAAACTGAATGTTCTAGAAACATGAAAATCATGGGGAAAGCCCATTTTGTGCTGAGTGTTTGAAATTGGTATTAACCAGTACCTAAATTTTAAAGCCTTCGAGAAGACAAACCAACCGTTGTTACACTTGATAATAGCAAGTTCTGTGACAAATTTGTAACACTATCAACAGCTTTTACTTTCATTTTCAACTGTTGTTATAATGCATGTTGTCATTTGTTTGGAAAGAACTATGTATATGCACTCCATAGTGCTTATAACATACACATGTACATGTACTAATGCCTACTGCAAAAATTAAGTACAAACTCACCTCTACAAGCCACCTGGAATAGCAGGAGTTGGTAAAACAGTCTGTAGTTTGCAAGTGCTTTTAGCTGTTGTGGTGATAGCACGTAAGCCAATGCGGGACTTTCCAATATTTTATTGTACTGTTGGGGGAAATTTCTGACACAGAAAAAAGTACACCTGACTTCACTGTGACTTCCCAACACCACCTGTGGACGTCATTTGGAAACATTTATAGTTATAATACAAGAGATTTTAGATCATCCATGACTCAACACTGCAAATTGAGTCACCCACAAAGATTGGGCATATCAAGTTTCTCTTTCACTTTCCTGTATCAAAGGTCACCATAGGCAGGTGTTGCACAATACCTGTAGGTGTTTTTGAACTGGACTGAAACTTGACTAACGACTATTCCACTCTTGTGGTTATGGGGGGCATTTAAAAAGGTGTCCAATGGATGTGTAGACAAGGAGCTGTATATAGTGTATTTAAAGCTCATACTGCGTAGGTGTAAGATTTTTGGATATTACTCTGGGCATGCAAATTTATTTGCTTCTTCTGGGTCTTCTTCAGAAATGGACCAACAGGGTGAAAAACAAGCCTATATCAGACAACTAACCTCATTACTATGGTGCCATTCTACAGTAAACTGATATGTTCAAATTGTTTAAATATATAATTTCTACATTATGTTTATTTTTAACATTATTCGTGCTAAAAAAAAGGCATAAACTGTGACAATTAAACCACTGGCAGAACAAAAATTGAATAGCATCTAATATAGACAGCAATTCTGAGAGTGAATTGATTAAATTGATGTGGCCTTTATATAGATGAAAAGATGTTTCACAAACAGTTGTGACAATGAACAAAGGTCCGGAAGCCAGTTAGACGTGTTCTCACCCACCGCTGGGATACATCAATATTTCAGACAACTCCTGCATAATACATACAATCAGAGGTTGAGACAAGGAAGCCAATTCAGAAGTGTGAAAACTAGCTATGTCTGGTAATTGGAAGCCACATTGTTCAGGCTGTTGTCCTAGGCAATGTTTGGGGCACACTCTGCAGGTGTAATTGTTGTAATCAGGTCTTAATTATACCCTGGAGATGTCCTGCTATTTCTAATAGACAACTCATTCAACGCCCAACCTGAGGAATATGGCTGCCCTTTAAATTTTAAAAGACACATTCTAGAAACCTGCAATTTCTAAAACAAAAAGGAGGTCAAACATCACTACAGTTAAAACATGTGACAAGAACAGAGACATAATATATGGTGAAGCATACTCTCTTTATTGTACATTCTGAGTATATATATTGAGATTTGTTCATGTTGAAAAAGTTGGTTGTCATGCAAACGGGACAACAGAAAAGGCAGCAATCTTCCCACTATAGGTCTGCTAGAAGATAAGGGTTTAGCATAAACATCTAATTAAATCTACTTGGCCTAAACCAAGCAGTTAACCAGGTGTGGCCTAATGTCTTTCCTTTCATCCCTCAACAATCAGCCAACAGATTTATTGCAGCCCCGCCCTCCTAACCACATCACCAGGGAAATACGAATAGGTAATGAGAAACATGATCACGTGACCAGCAGCCTGACCTGTCTGACGGGTCCTAGCTCCCTTTGTCTCCCTCGCGCGCAAGCTCCTGTGGGCCACATTTTTTCGGGGCTCTCTCCTCGGATCTTGCGAATCCGACACTTCTCAGACCTTCTGGCACGGCTTGGTCGAACCTCTGCCATCATGATTCGTGACAGCTCCTCTCCCGGTGAGATCATCAAGTACCGGATCATACGGGACCAGGGCGGGAAGGCGTCACGGTCCCTGGCGGCATCCTTCTCAACAGAGGTGAGCTCTGTTAGCACTAGTAGTACCAGCATTGCAACAGGATACTCCTCGAGTGCAGTTAGTACTACCAGCATTTCCACTGGATCCTCCGCAAGTTCAAGCCTACATGCTCAGGACAAGCATTTTGAGGGGGCGATCGCAGGTGGTAGTACGGAGAGGCAAGGGCAGGAGTTGGTAACCACGTTTCATGAGAAGCTAGAGTCTCAGGAAGGCGGGCGTGTGATTACAGGTGTTACGGGCATAACCGAAGCGCACAATGGGGCACAGTCACAAATCTCGCTTGGTGCCGACTTTTCACCCTCCTCACAATTTCGCACCACGAGCCACGGTGCAAACCGTCGAAAGTTGGCGAAGACGGGAGGCTACAGCAGCGTGCAGACAACTTTCACTTCTCAAACAAGTTCTGAAACCCAATCTGTGTCAGGCCAAACCAGTCAGGTGGGGGTAACGCAGGAGGGCTTCCAGGTGTCTTCAGGCAAAGCTACCACATCTTCAAGTAGCCTTCAATTGGGCCAAGAAAATCAGCTGGATTTGATAAGGGTTCTGCAAGAGGAGATCAGACAACTGAAGCTGAAGTTGGCAAGCTTGGGAGGAGATTCTGCAGAGGTGGGCGTGGCTGGTGGCTCTGTCTCGTCTGCCTCGGGGCAACTCTCCTGGGATGAGGAGATCAAATCACTGCAAACTTGCAGTAAAGAAGAGCTGCTCATCAAAATGAGGCTCCTGTTGGAGGAACGCAAGACCCTGCAACTCCAGAGTGAGTATGTCCTGATAAGCAGCCAGGATTCTAAAGAAACCACCGAGACGGATGGCAAGTATGTGGCAGGGCAGGGAAAAGTGGAAAATGGTGGAGCTACGCAGGTAAACAAAGAAGTAGTTAAAGGGACATCACTGTCCCTCCAGGCAGAGCTCCACGATGTGACACAATTGTACAACCAGATTCTTACAGAGAAGACCCAGCTGGTACAAGAAGTAGAGCGTTACAAAGTCTACCAGAAACAGGTGGAAGAAATGAAGGCTGAAGTTAGCAAGACCCTTCAAGAAGAAAAAGCGATGATAGCTACTCTTAAGTCTGAAAACAACAGTCTCAAGACAGAGAAAACCAAAGCAGAGGAGGAAAAAGCGGCGAAGATTGAAGAATTGAAGGGGCTGCAACAGAAGCTCACGACACTGAAACTCGAGAATGAAAATTTACAAGCACAGAATACCAAAATTGAAGAGGAAAAGGCGTCTTTCGTTGTCAAGAAGCAGTCAACACAAACAACAACAACTGTCAAGGTGGAAGGAAAACAGGAGACCCTGATGTCAGGAGGAGACATCACGCTGCAGTCAGGAATCAAAAGTCTCAAGCAAGAGACAGTCACAGCCAAAGACACAGACGTTAAGAAGCTACAGGATGAGCTGACAGCCTTGAAGACAGAGAACAAGACCTTGATGACACAGAAGTCTAAACTGGAAGAAGAGAAGGGGACCCTTTTGGCAGAGGCACAGGATAATTCCATGTTACAGGGAGAGATAGATGACCTGAAGTTCCAGCTCAACAGTCTGATATCTGAGAACACCATCCTCACAGCAGAGAAGACAAGCGTACAGAGAGAAACATCCACAAAGGCAGAGGAAGAGAGGAAGAGGCTTCAGCATGAGCTGGATACTCTTAAGAATAATACCCAAGCTGTAACAGTCAAAAGTATGCAGGGGGAGCTTGACGCACTTACACTGAAACTGGAGAGAATGCAAGTTGAAAAGGCAAAGCTAGAGCAGCAAGTGGGAAACACAGAGATCACAAAGGTGTACCAGGAGTTGTCATCTTTGAAAGGAGAGAACGAAACCTTGAAGATCAAGATAGCAGAGCTCCAAGGAGGACAGGGAAGTGTGACAGTTGTAGCCGGTACACAGAAGCAAGTGATGGGAGACAAGCAAAAGACAACACAAGAATTCACTACCTATCAAACTACAAGCCAGGTGGTCACAGTGACAAACACACAGGGAGACATGACTTCGGTAAATGAGGAGTTGTCAACTTTAAAAAGAGAGAACGAAATCTTGAAAACCAAGATAGTGGAGCTTCAAGGAGCACGGGGAAGTGTTGCATTCAGTGCGCAGAAGGGGGTGACAGGAGACAAGCAGATGACAACACAAGAATTCACTACCTTTCAAACAAGCCAGGTGGTCACAGTGGCAAACGCACAAGGAGACTTGACTTCACTGCTGCTGGAAAATGAAAGCCTGAAAAACGAGAAAGCCAAACTGGAGAGGGAAAAAGCCGGTCTCCTTATCAAAGAGGAAAACCTCACAACCCTGGAGGGAGAAATGACACAGATGCGATCAGAACTGTCCACTTTACACACAGAGTATGACAGCTTGAAGAAAGAGCATGCAGCGTCTGTAAACACAGATGTGAAGAAAGTACGAGTGGAACTGAAATCCTTGAAATCAGAGAACGATGCTTTAAAGACACAGAAGACTAAACTACAAGAGGAAACAGGCAACCTTCTGGCAGAGGTGCAGAAGAAAACAGACGAGCTGGAAAAGATGGAGAAGGTACAGAGCCAAGTGAAAAGCCTGGTGTCCGAGAATGAAGTTCTGAAGACAGAGAAGACCAAAGTGATGCAAGAGGAGGCAAAGAAGGCAGAAGAAGAGAGGAAAAGGCTGCAGCAAGAACTGGCCACCCTTAGAAACACCGACCAAGAGGCAATCATTGCAAGGATGGAACGAGAGCTGACTTCTCTGAAGTTGGAGACAGAAAGCTGGAAAGCAGAGAAGGTTAAAATGGAGCAAGAAAGAACCACCCTGACTACAAAAGTGGATGGAGTGAGGAGGATGGAGGAAGAATTGTCTTCTTTGCAAGTTGAGGTCAAAGCCCTACATGAAGAGAAAGTGGCCAACAAACAAGTTGATGTTAAGAAACTACAGAAGGAGCTGACATCCCTGCAGGCAGAGAACAAAGCCATGCAGACAGAGAAGAGCAAAGTAGAGAAGGAAACACAGCAGAGGATGGAGATGCAAGTGAAGACACTTGAGGAGCAGCTGACAATCCTCAGATCTGAGAATGAAACCTTCAAACTCGAGAGGAGCAGGCTGAAGAAGACAGAAGATGAAAGGATGGCAGAAGAGAGAAGGAAACTCCAGGAAGAAATGGCGACACTTAAAATCACCTACCAAGAGCAAGCAAGTAAGACGATGCAGGGACAACTAGAATCACTCCAGTTGGAGAATGAAAGCCTCAAACACGAAAAGGCAAAGCAGGAGAGGGAAAAGAGGTGTCAATCTCGAGTGGAGAAACGGCCATAGGAGGTGCAATTGGAAGTGTTGTAGCTGTTGCACAGAAGAACGTCAAAGGAAACAAGCAGAAGACAACACAAGAATTCTCTACCTATCAAACTACAAGCCAGGTGGTCACAGTGACAAACACACAGGGAGGCATGACTTCGGTACACGAGGAGTTGTCATCTTTGAAACGAGAGAACGCAATCTTGAAAACCAAGATAGCTGAATTCCAGAGGGGACAAGGAAGTGTTGTAGTCAGTGCGCAGAAGGGGGTGACAGGAGACAAGCAAAAGACAACACAACAAGAATTCTCAACCTATCAAACTACAAGCCAGGTGGTCACAGTGGCAAACGCACAAGGAGACTTGACTTCACTTCTGCTGGAAAACGAAAGTCTGAAAAACGACAAAGCCAAACTGGAGAGGGAAAAAGTTGGTCTCCTTGTCAAGGAGGAAAAACTCACAACTCTGGAGGGAGAAATGACACAGATGCGATCAGAACTGTCCACTTTACACACTGAGTATGAGAGTCTGAAGGAAGAGCATGCGGCATACGCCAACACAGATGTGAAAAAAGTACGTACGGAGCTGAAGGCCCTGAAATCAGAGAACGATGCCTTAAAGACACAGAAGACTAAACTACAAGGGGAAACAGGCAACCTTCTGGCAGAGGTGCAGAAAACACGGATGTGCTGGGAAAGATGGAGAAGGTACAGAGCCAAAGTGAAAAGCCTCGTGTCCGAGAATGAAGTCCTGAAGACAGAGAAGACAAAAGTGATGCAAGAGGAGGCAAAGAAGGCAGAAGAAGAGAGGAAAAGGCTGCAGCAACAACTGGCCACCCTTAGAAATACCGACCAAGAGGCAATCATTGCAAGGATGGAGCGAGAGCTGACTTCTCTGAAGTTGGAAACAGAAAGCTGGAAAGCAGAGAAGGTTAAAATGGAGCAAGAAAGAACCACTCTGACTACCAAGGTGGATGGAGTGACGAGGCTGGAGGAAGAATTGTCTACTTTGAAAGCTGAGGTCAAAGCCCTACAGGAAGAGAAAGTGGCCAACAAACAAGTTGACGTCAAGAAACTACAGAAGAAGCTGGCATCCCTGCAAGCAGAGACCAAAGCCATGAAAACAGAGAAGAGTAGAGTAGAGGAGGAAACACAGAAGAGGATGGAGATGCAAGTGAAGACACTGGAGGAACAGCTGACAATCCTCAGGTCCGAGAACGAAACCTTCAAATTCGAGAGGAGCAGGCTGAAGAAGACAGAGGATGAAAGGATGGCAGAAGAGAGAAGGAAACTCCAGGAAGAAATGGCGACACTTAAAATCTCCTACCAAGAGCAAGCGACAAAGATGATGCAGGGACAACTAGAATCACTCCTGTTGGAAAACGAAGGCCTCAGAAATGAAAGGGCAAAACTGGAGAGGGAAAGATTCAGCTTGTTGCATGGAGAAAGGGCCACTGAAAAAGGAGGCGCAGGTTTTGTAGTCCAGACCAAGACGACCACGAGCAGAAGAGAAGTGCAGACAACAAAGGGATCAGGAACCTTCAGGTCAGAGGCCAAAGGTCTGAATGAGATAGAGGTCATCCGAGAAGAGATGGAGGGAGAGAGAGCAACAGTCAGTCAGCTGCAGGGAAGGTCTGTCATCACACAAGACCTTACAAAACTGACAGGAGGAGATAGCATCGCTCAGAGCAGAAAACCAGACCCTAAAAGCAGAGCTGCTAAAACTGGGGAAGGAAAGGGACACGCTCCTCAGCCAGGGGCAAACTGTAACCTTGACAGAAGTGAGGGAGGTCGCAAACACACAGCAGACCACCGTCATCTCAGAGAGTTCAAGTCAGGTCACGACAGAGAGGCAGAATGGGGAGTATGTGGACCTGTCTAAGACACAAAGAAGCGACGGACAGCACCTTAGAGCGCATTCGAGAGGAGATGAGCACCTTGCAGACACTGCTGGAGGAGAAAGATGAGCTACACGACGCTGATGACGCAGGTGATGATGAGGAAAAGCAGGACACAACAGACAATGGGCCAACCAACCAGGAGTCTGATTCAGCATCATTGATGAAGGAGATCGTGACCCTCAAGTCGGAAGTGACGACCCTGAGGAGCGAGAAGGAGAAATATGAGACGCTGGTGATGGGGAAGTGGCAGGTCATCGACCTCCAGGGCGATGGTGCTCTGCAGCTTCTGCAGGAGGAGGAACAGGAAGCTGCGGGCGTACATCGAGGAGAACGACATGCAGATCGCAGCCATGCAGACCTCAGCAGCACAGACGGTGCAGGTGCAGACCTCCACATCATCACAGCAAACATCTAGTACATCCTCATCAACAGGACAGCAAGATTTGCAGTCCACCATTGAGGAGAACAAAACACTGAAGAAACAGATTGAAGAGATGCAACTAGTCCAGGGCAACCTGCAGCAGGCACTGGCCACGAAGCTGGAGGAAAGTTCGGCGAACGTCACGAGGATGCAGCTGATGGAGATGGAGGTGACGCAGCTGTATCAGCTGCTGCAGGAGCACGGGGTGTCCAGAGAACAGGTCCAGCAAATCACCTCATCTGTGCAACACACGGAAGGAGCTGTAAATGTGACGGAGACAGTGAGTTCGCAGTCACAGAGCATTGTGGTGACCCAACAGAGCGAAGAGGTCCAGAGCCAAACCACGAAGACTACTGTGAAGTCATCCAAGCTGAGTAGGCTGGAGGAAGAGGCTGCAAAGATGGCACAGAAGAGGAAGAAGCTCCAGCAAGAGCTGGCAAGTCTGAAAACATCATACCAGGAGAGGGAGCGACGAAAACCCAGGAAGTCACCGTTTCACAAAAGAGTGAAACGGTCCTAACCCAAACCACACAGGGTACAGTAAAAACATCCCTAAGCATGGAGCTCGAAGAAGAATTGTCATCCTTGAAGTCAAAACTACAGGATTATGAGCAGATCCAGACAGAGTTAGCAGAAACAAAGAAGGAGCTAGAAAAGCTCACAGCAGACAAAAATGGCAAAGGGAAGAGCAAGAAGGCAGCCAAGGAGAGCCAAGCTACACAGGAGAAGATGGACATGCTACAGATGCAGGTGAAGGAGCTGTCATTACAGGTGAAGATCCTCTCCACCAGTAAGACTGATCTAGACGACACGAGGAAGCAGCTTGCAGAGCTGAAGAAGGAAAACACGAGTCTCAGCGGGCAGCTGGGGAAGATGAAGGCCATGGAGCGGGAGGTGACCATCGCAAGGAGCGTCATCCAGCAGCTCAAGGACGACAACGAGAAGATGGCTCTGAAGATGAAGAAGAGTAAGAAGTAAAATGACTGAACACTAGAGACAATTTTGCAGTAGGAGAAATGGTAACTGTAAGGGATAATGATATGGTTATCCAAGAAAGGTGATCCAAACATCCAGCTGCTGAAGGATGACAACCAGAAGATGGCTTTGAAGATGAAGAAAAGCAAGAAGTAAAATGATGAAACTCTAGTCTAAGAGACAGTTTTGCAAAGTGGGAGAAATGGTGACTGTTAGGAATGATAATTTCTGTTATCCATGAGAGGTGATTAGAACTTTTTGTATCAATGGTTTGACAAGAGTTTTCTGTTAAGTGTGAAGTGATGTAAGACATCTTACTTTTATATGGTTTGGGAAAACTTCTGTTATTACAGCAAAATAATCTTTTACTCAAGTTTGGGTGCAAACGCTTTTGTAAGGTACAGATGTAAGCTGGTGTTAGCTTTGGTATAGGGACGCAAACTGTTGAAACATTTTTAATCATGGTCAATGAATGCAAATAATATTTTAGTACAGCCTTAGAAGTTACATAGTATTCGGTAAAATACTTTACATTTTCTGTGCCACACTCTTAAGAGCTGAGAGATGGCAAGATGTGTTACTAAGTAAACCAAACAATGGGTAGCCAAAACTTCTCAAAATACAAAATACATGTTACAGTAAAAATGGTTCTTCAGTCTTACACAGTACAGTCTACTGCTACACATCTTAGTTGATTTCCAGATGAATAATCTAGAATCATTACGAGCCCAAGGGGGTGTTGGTTTGTTTAATTTCTACGTATAAAATTGAGCTTGATGGGTCATTCTCTGTGTCTCTTGTTTGGTGTTTTAATGTTTCATACATGCATCAAATGCAATGTAATTAACTTGACTACATGTAGAAGAGATTTTCTTCATAGATTACTCCTCTGCCACCCCTATATCAGGCAGTTCGTTTAGGCTAAGAAGTTCAATAGGGACTGTGTTATCACGCGACTCCTGTCCGCCATCTTTCTTCTCTATTGTTATGACGACCATGAAAGTTGTGCTCGGTTGCGCACTTAAATTGTCATCACTTGTTCCTTGTCTGCCTACGTTTCTGCTGCGACTAGAACAAAAATTATTGCTATAAGGCCACAGAAAAAAATTCAGAAACTCAGAAGGACTTTAGGACTTTCTCCAAAATTTCTAAAGGCATTTCTGTCAAGAAGTTTGCCAGTCCACCAGAACAGCAGATACTGTCCCCTATTCACGCTCTATTGTATGAACTCTGTATGCATGCACACACCTGTGTCTAGAATTACAGTCAATGAATTGAAGGCAGTAAAATGTAGGAACGTAATGTATATACCAGCCAGGCCGCTAGGTGTCACGCCAATATTTTCCCGGCATGCCCCCCGGCATGCCCTTCCCGGCATGCTATGCGTTTCGTCCTCCATTTTTCTCCACGTTTCGTCCTCCATTGTGGAAAGAAACCAACTGAGATGGTTTGGACACCTACACAGGATACCGGAAGATTGTGAAGAGAATCTTTAATTGGAAACCTAAAAAGAAAAGACCAGCCTTGCAGGCCAAGAAAAAGACGGTTGGACCAGATCATTGAAATCACAAGATGAGAGGAGCCAGACTTCTGAGTATTTTTTAATCTAAAGAAATAGCTGAAGATAGAACAGAGTGGAAAAGACTGACCAAGAGGCTGACAACTTACAGGCCTTAAAGAAGGTGAGACTAGTTTAGAATCTGACTTAAGGTACCATGATGGTGTATTCTATACCTGTCAGGTGTTGTTGATGTAACAGGTAAGTGAAGACAGATTGTGTGTAGTGTATTGTTTGCCAGAACAAGGTCAGAAACAGAACACCGTCCAAATAAGCTTGAGTTTCGGGTTCTAACCTTCGTGGTTGAGACGAGTGGCTAAGCTAGGACAATGATTCTGCATACCCTCAACTCTAGCGACCGTCTCTTTCAGGTAATAATTCTTAAAAGCCAAAATACAGTGTGTTTGCAAATGAAGGATATCCCTCTAGCTATATGAGAACAATAGAATTTCAATTTCTTTAACCTCTCAAATTTCAGTAAATCTTAGGGGAAAAAATAATTTTTCGATTAAAAATGATGCCAAAAACTGGCCGTCTTCACATGCAATTAAACGTATCACCCATATTTTAGCCACCAAAATGATATTGTCGGAAAGAGAAAACCCTTATGTAATATCAAGGAGGTTATTTGTGGCGTCTGTGTGGTGTAGTGGATAGAGCGTCCGACTGTCAAGCAAGAAGACCCAGGTTCAATCCCCAGGGTTGGACCCAGACATGTCCGGACATGTACCCAGACGTTGTGCCCTTGGGAAAGGCACTTAACACGTATTTCCCCCCTCAGTTTACAGGGATCCTGGGCCCTACTAGGGTTTGGGTTGGCGTTAGGAAGAGCATCCAGCCATAAAAATCCTGCTTCAAAAAAAGACTTGTACTTGGTGCAAGCACGTCTAACCCCGGTTGGGAAAAATGACGTTAAATTACGGTTAAAAAAAAAAAAAAAA